TGTCCTGGATGGTTGTCTATTAGCCATTTTTGTTTCTAATCTCTTTCACTTCCTCGATGACATTGTTCTTAGTTGGATATTTTGCAGAGTAAATCCGCTGTGAGAAACCTTTGCCTGTGCCCTTATTTCTCGTTGAAATATTTTTATTGCACGATCACGAGATTAGATATGAGGTCATTGAAAATGTGAAAATACAAGTTATCGTCTTGCCCGAGAAAATGCTGCAGAGGTCACTTGCAAAGGTCTCACTAGACTCCAGTGCTGTGCTCAGGCAAGTCAGCTGGGAAACTTCCTTCAGTTTTAAAAACTTGGGACTTTACAGATTCTTCCTCTGGATTGAGTACAGGTCTGGAGAGGATGAATTGTGGGCAGCTCTGCCATCAGTCAAAGGACAGCTTTTATGAGCATGCCCCAGATCAAACTCATCCATCATAAACCAGCCATCCCAACAGCCACTCTCAAGTTCTCAGGATCTCGGCAGTGGAAGGGGTTGGGAGGTCTTGAGTTTAGCATTTCTCTAATGCTAGAATCCCCCACCACACTGACAAGCAGGACCCATCTTCCGTTCTAGCACTCCCAGTCACTGTGATCTGAGGCTTCTGCCTGAGTGGCCCCTGAGGTTGGCACACTCTTCCTCAGGAGCTGCAGGGCTATACTACGTAAGCTCCCGCTGGCATCCCCATGCCACCTCCAAAGCCGCAGGCGTCCAGAGGAAAGGCAGGCACCAAAAATACCAACAGGTGTGCTGATGGGATCCCGCCCTACTCAGCACCTGGTTCTCTAATAAGCAGAACTAATGTTTTTTCAGAAACACATGGCAAGCCAGCAGCACCCAATGCATGCTTATTCTTCCGGAACACAAACTTAGGAAAAAAATCATTTGTGTAATACTTCTTAATAAATCCACTGAAGGAAGAACTCTTCTCCAAAGCACATATTTCAAACAGAAAGCACCCTGTCGGAACACAGAACTTTTAGACAATCACAGCGTTGATGAGGGGAGGGGCGTCATTGGCCCACAGAAGAAATGTCTCTGTGCTTTGCACGTTAAAGCACCCAGCACCTTGCTTTGCAGTGTGGGTGTGTGTCTGATGTTCCTGAAATTCATTCCTGCTTCCAGAAAGGATTAAGGAGACCCAGGCTGGGGTGCTGCCTGCACTGCTCACTTCTCCCGCGCTAGGAACAGCTTTGTGGTTCTTCCCGGACCTTGCTTTTGGCTCCCGCTTTTCTCCCGGAGGAATGGGTTTTATCAGGGTCTTTTTGTTGGCTGCCCTGGGATAGTTTGGGTTTAGAGTTAAGTCTCCTTTTTCCAGGCAGGAGCCCAGCAGGACCTCGGGTCCATAATGGAGGCGCCACAAGACCAAGCAGGGAGCGAACCAGCAGGAGGCAAGTGAGGACGGGCAGCCTCCCTGCGAGCGGTGTGGGCCAGCAACGGCCTTCAGGGCGTCCCGCAAGCATTTCCAACCTGGACTCTGGGGAGGACATGTCTGTCCACATCTGAACTTACTGACAGACATACAGATAAAGATGCATGCACACACACACACTTACATATCCTTATATAATCCTAGATATGTGTGTGTGCGTCTATAGCTATATACACATGTATACAGGAGGGCTTAAACATACATACACATACATATCTAAGGATAGACAGCGCTCTGTGTGTGTATGTGTGTGTGTGTGTATTTAAAACCATCAAGTGACCTGTGCGATGAGGGATGTGTGTTGCTTTCGGGCTCTATGCCCTGGCTGACACTTTGGAAGGCCTTGGCTGGAGGTGCAGGTGCGGACCGCGTCAGGTGCTTAAGGACCTGCATGCAATCAGCAGGCTGTGGCTGCCCAGCCCCTGAGTGTGGAGGAGGTGCCGGGAACTCCTGCAAGGAGGAGCATCTGGCTGTGGGAGGAAAGAGTCAGCACCCAGATGAGGAAACACTATTTGGAAAGGCAGCAGCTGAGACTTTTATGCGTTTTCAAAAACTGGGCCAACAGGGAAAACTCTTTACCTCCATCTAAGAATGATTTTTAGGGCAAAATAAAGTTTGCTCTGGCCCGAATAAGTAAGAGCATCTCTTTTCCTCCCTTCCCTTCCCGCACTCCTTCCCGCTGTGGGCTCCCGGCATGGCCAGCACGCTACCGCCACGCCTGCTTCCTAACAGCAGCACCGGTCTGTGCCCCTATGGGGGATGCCGTGTTCCTGGTTCTGCAGACTGTCAGCCCAGCCACACCATGTAGTGTGCAGATGTGCACTCTCAAAGAAGATTCTGGCAGAGTCTCTTTGAAATCCCTCTGGCACACCTGGAAGCCGTGCTTTGGAGCTGGGTCTTCCCTGTATTTCCCGAATAACTGACTTTGTCAGCATATCATTGTCAAGTACATAGTGGTTGACTATTGTGGGTCAAAAAATTGAGACACAAAAGGGTTAAGAAATGACTCCGGACTTCACAATTAATTGCCATGGAGCAGGTATTAAAACATTTGACCCCAGTCCAGGACTGCCTACTTGGTCTCTAATGAGAGCCCTTCTGGGATCTTGATAGGATAAGATGCATGACTTGGGAGGTCTGTCAGGAGCTCTGATAAAGACCAGGCAGTGGCCTGGCACGGTGGCTCACGCCTGTAATCCCAACACTTTTGGAGGCTGAGGCGGGCGGATCACGAGATCAGGAGTTCAAGACCAGCCTGACCAACATGGTGAAACCCCATCTCTACTTAAAATACAAAAATTAGCCAGGCGTGGTGGTGGGTGCCTGTAATCCCAGCTACTCAGGAGGCTGAGGCAGGAGAATCGCTTGAACCCGGGAGGCGGAGGTTGCAGTGAGCCGAGATCATGCCACTGCACTCCAGCCTGGGCGACAGAGTGAGACTCCGTTTCGGGGGGTGGGGGGAAAGACCAGGAAGCAACAAGGCCACTCCACACACAGCCCCTCCACTCTCCACCTGAACGGTGGTGGTCAGGGAACACGCATGGAGCAGAAGGTCACCAGTGGGCCAGACACAAGGCAGCTGGAATGACCAGGCTTTGAGGTCGGCCTTTCTCAGCAGCGAGGAAGTGCTTCCCCGTCCCAGCCGAGAGGCATTCCTGTCACGGATATTTGTGTCTGAAACATGCACCAGGCCTCCTGCACATGCACAGGGTCTCGGGGAGGCACAGGTGCCAGGACAGAATTGGGGGGAGTTGGCTGAAGCTGCCACATATGTGAGGCTTCAGAAAAACTTCCAGCTGGCAGCCCAGGCCCCAGTGCCAGTTCTGAGGCACATTTATAAAACTTAATGTGACCAGCATGCTTTCATGATACAAACGGTTCCTTGTAAGACTCAGGCAAGCCTTTTCTTTAGGAAGGGAGAGACAACTTGGCTATGAGCTTTGTGGAAGCAAGGTTCCCTGGAGACAGAAGGGCACAGAGAAGTGACAGTGGGGGGATGTCGCCCCTGGTAGAGTTAGGGAGAGGAACAGAGGAGGACATTTCTTGCTGAACCTGATCCTAATAGCACAGGTATTGAAGATTTCATTCATTCCCTGGGTCACCTTTCCTTTCAGTCAACTTCTTCCCAAATCATTAACAGAAGACAGGACCTTTCTGTTGAATTTATTCTCCAAGTCTCCTTTGTACACCTTCCTTATGTCCCAGGCCCCATCCACAATACCGATCTGAGTTTTAAAAGTATTAGCTGACAATAGAATCTGGACCTGTAACCATCATCCTATGCTGCCCACAAACACAGAGGTACTGGAAAAAGAGATACTGTCTATTACAGAAATATATATATATTTATAGGACCACATTTGTTTTCAGATCTATTGAAATATGTCCCCTGCTCAAATACACATACCAGTTCTCAGGGACATGGCAGGCTGACTTTCAGAAGAACATGTTACATACATAAGTCATATTAAAGTTCTTCATTCTTTAAGAATTCTCTACCTCCCTGCGCATGGTGGTTGATGCCTGTAATTCCAGCACTTGGGGAGGCCCAGGCGGGCAGATCACTTGAGGTCAGCAGTTTGAAACCAGCCTGGCCAACATGGTGAAACCCCGTCTCTACTAAAAATACAAAAATTAGCCAGGCATGGTGGCACATACCTGTAATCCTAGCTACTTGGGAGGTCGAGGTTGTAGTGAGCCGAGATCATGCCACTGCACTCCAGCCTGAGTGGGTGATGGGGTGAGACTTGGTCTCAAACAAAACAAAACAAAACAAAAACGAAGAATTCCCTACCTAAAGACGAAAATTACTCTGAAGAGTAATGAGAAGTTCAAGTCCAGTCTACCTGATGATATGAGGAAGAAAGAGAACTGAGTCCCTGACGAGCCAGGTCAGGGGGTCCCATCTCTATAAAGCCTGGGGCCCCTGGGAGGGATGGGACCTCATTCAAGCACTTAATGGGCACACACTTTTCTTTCAAGATTCAAAATACTATGGTGCATCCCCATATTTATGCTTGGGAGGATGGGAAACCATCCTCATTAATCCAAACGACTCGAGACTGACCATCTTCAATCTGTTCAGGGTTATAAAAGGGTGTTCTGTTCCTGGAAATAATATAGTGATCCGAATGGCAAACTGTAACCCCCAACAGAATCAATACAGAAGGGTCTGAAGACTCTCACTTGGTGACCGCATACCAGGACGCAACCCACACGTGGGCATCCCTACATGTTCTGTGTGGACCACCTGCCAATCAAAATGAGATCAGTTGCAGCTCCCAGCCCTACTTCTCCCCAAACCAACCTGACTGAACACAAATCCATCCTGATTTGTGGGGGTGGGTAAGAATTCATACTTGGCTTCCAAGCCCTCGATTTAAACAGGCTGAGTCACTCGAGGATGGAAGTATTCAGAAGCTACTGCTCCTGCCAGTGAATCTGGGGGAGTTCTTTGGAATAAGATACATGAGAAGCAAGGCCAGGGCAGAAGATGAGGAGGTGTGCGCATAGAAGGTCAGCCAGATACTCAACACATTAGCATCGTGAAAACAGAACCATCACAAAGGATATCTTGCAGGACTGTCCTTAAGGGCATTTAGGAATCCTGTTTGCTGTGAACCTGTGGGAATGAAACCAACATTTAGTATTCAGACATAAACAGCCTTCGTGCTGAATGCACTCTCATCTACATAAAAATAATAGATGGCTAAAGAGCAATGAAATAATTCTATTTTGTAAGTGCTACGACACCCAGTTTACTGATCAGAGATTGAGATGCCACTAAAGTTTTTCCCCAAGAAAAGGGAGGATTCATAATTAGGCCCAACATCTGCAGGGTATTTTTTCAATAAAAGCAGATGGATGTCTGCACACTTTCCGATAAATTACAGTTCTGATGACTCCTTTGTTTTCCTCATTTTAATAGGAAAACAGAATACTGCATGCTATCTTTTCTCTTCTGTTTTCCCCAAATTTGTTAACTTTTGACCCTGGAAGTTCTGGAAACTAGGCTACATATAAAAGACTTCTTTTTGTACACCCAGAGTAAACAAAGTCATAAAGCTGAAATTTATTAGACTTCTTTTGGGTTTTAGACATTTTAATATGAGCTGTCTTAGGCAAGAAAACATTTCTTTAGGGGCTTGAATAAAGCAGCATCTGACAGAAAGCAATTTTTATTTTATGCATTGACATCATACTTTTAAAAATAAAAAAGAGGTAGTTTTAACAATCCCATCTTGGGGTAGCAGTGCCAGGTCCCTCTGTGCTGTGGGAAGCCAACGAGCCTCTGGGGACATCATCCGGCCCTCGTGCAGCAAGGAAATGACACAACAGATGGGTGCTATGGTGTCCCTGTGGCATCTGACCGCGGGCACAGCTGCACTGTGGGACTTAGTGGTAGGGGATGAGTGGCCATCGCGTCCCCATGTGCCCCACTATGGGAGACCACCTGGGAGGGTGAAGAGTGGCTTGTTCTTCCCAAGGTCCCTTTCCCTCTGTGCCCACGGCCCATGTGTCTGAGTAGTGGGACACAGGGGGTGGGAGAGGCTGTGGAGAGGAGCTGCGTGGAGCGCTAATCAGGAGAAACGGTGCTTAAGGCTTCCTCCTCCATCTCTGCCAGCCCCGAAGGGCACAGATGCAAGTGCCTGTGCGGCCACGTGGAGGAAACGAAGCCCTGAGGCAGATGAGGGACCAAAAGAAATGATTTCTCTTTCCCTACTGCACCCTAATTATGTGGCTTGCCTAAACCCTCCTTCCTCTCCAAGGAAATCCAGACTTGGCCTTCCCAGGAATCTTGGAGGCCACAGAAATCTCGCCCGCCACTCCCTGTCCAGTCCTTTCTCTAAGAGCCCAGGATCCCACAGAGAGACTCAGATGACAGTTCTCCTCTCTGCCTGTGCCAATATTTTCTGAGGCTTAGGGGGTAACAGGAGCCATGTAAACCCCGTGCCCTTCCCAAAGCATCACATGCCAAGCCAGATAGGGTGGTGGGGTCGTATCGTGGGGTTCACTGAGGAGGGGGTGTCGAACAAGGGAAAAGGAAAAGTTTTATTTTCTTTTGCCCAGAATATTCCAATAACTTACAGGCAGGTAAACTCTTCATACTTTTGTGTAGAAGAAGAGATGCAGTTTTGCAATATTTAAGCATAGACAATAGTAAAATCCAGTTTGGTGGAGCCAGGGTGAGTAAAACCTTAGAGAAGCTGAGAGTGAAATACACATCACAACCGGAGTGCGGTGGCACGTGCAGATTTCACTGTGAGAGTGTGTGTGAGAGCATGTGTGTGTGCAACAGCGTGAGTGTGAGTGAGCACAACAGCGTGTGAGTGCAAGAGTGTGTGAGCATACTGGTGAGTATATATGAGTGTGGGTATGGCTAGAGTGTGAGTGTGGATGTATAAGGGGGTGTGTGTGAGTGTGGGTGTGTAAGGGTATGTGGGTGTGTGGGTGTGTGGGTGTGTAAGGGTATGTGTGAGTGTGTGGGTAAGGGCATGTGTGTGAGTGTGGGTGTGTAAGGGTATGGGTGTGGGTGTGTAAGGGTGCATGTGAGTGTGGGTGTGTAAGGGTGTGTGTGAGTGGCTGTAAGGGTATGAGTGTGTGAATGTGGGTGTGTAAGGGTGTGTGTAAGAGTATGCGTGTGTGAGCTTATTGGTGAGTATATGAGTGTGAATGTGGCTACAGTGTGTGGGTGTGTAAGGGTATGTGTGTGTAAGGGTATGTGCGATTATGTGTGTGGGTAAGGTTATGTGTGTGAGTGTGGGTGTGTAAGTGTATGTGTGTGTATATATATGGGTGAGTATATATGTGTGAGTGTGGCTAGTGTGTGAGTGTGGGTGTGTAAGGGTGTGAGTACGTGTGAGGCCATAAGCATGCATGTGTGTGTTCCCTGAGTTTATGTATACGATTAAGCACGTGACAACTGGCCCTTGATATGCACAATGTAGGGACAAGGCCATAAATACAATCCCATAATATACACAAAAGCATCTTGAGGTTGTTAAAGGTGATATAAAAATACAATGTCTAGGCCTGGTGGGATGGCTCACGCCTGTAATCGCAGCACTTTGGGAGGCTGAAGCAGGCAGATCACCGGAGGTCAGGAGTTCGAGACCAGCCTGGCCAAGATGGTGGCCCTCTCTACTAAAAATACACAAATTAGCCAGGCACTGTGGCCCACGCCTGTAATCCCAGCTACTCGAGGCAGGAGAGCTGTTTGAACCTGGGAGGCGGGGGCTGCAGTGAGCCGAGATCCCGCCACTGCACTCCACCTGGGGCAACAGAGCGACACTCCATCTCAAAAATAAAAATAAAAATGTCTAAACACTGCCTTTCAGTGTCACGTGTGTGCTGGAGGATTGGTTCGTATTTCTTCCCTAGTTGTGTCAACAACTGCTTCTTTGAAAATAACATATAATGCCCTAGTCGTTCTCTCTGCTTCTTTTGTCTATTAATGCACAGATAGGACCCCAGCCACATTTTTGCCATTTTGAGGACTGCGAAAATAGAGCCAGAGGGTGCCCCTGTCTGCATCCTGCCCAGCTGGTGTGGAAAAGGTGGGAGTCCATTCTCCTCTTGCAAGTCCACCAAGTTACGGCTCTCAAGCACATATTACACATTTGTGTCACATTTGGATGAAAGATTATAGCCAGAAAGAATGGGAACTAGGATTGAAAGTACCTATGAAAATTTGGGATGGTCCATTTAACGGCCCAGTTTGACTAATATTCAAAAAGAATGAATGCAAAACATTTCCTCCCACCCACTTCCCCACCCCCATAGGAACCCACCAGAAGAGAAAGGGAGGAAGATGTGCTCCTAACATGAGCCTGAGCCCAGCCCACACCATTTGTGGTTTGAGCACTTCGGCCTGGAAAGGAAGTAAAGCCTTTGTGCAGATACTTACGGAAACATTCCAGAAAGAAGCTACGGACTTGCTAATGAAGGGTTACGCTTCAGGAATGTAGACAAGAGGCAACGCTAGTGCTTAATGTTGTGTTTCATACTGTAATGGAAGTTCAAAGGCCTAAATTTATAACTCAATGCAAATTCACTTCCTTCTCATTACTTTCTATTGTAGGAAAGTGAATGACCAAGAGACAAAGGAAATTCAAAGTTACAACCCTCAGAATAGGAAATGAAAAAATGCCATTTGCTTTGGCAAATCGATATTAAAATCATTGATTTCCAAATCTAATTTTTAATCAAATTTGCTTCCTTTATATGTCGGGGTAGTTAGCTCATGTTCTAGCAGATACTTAAACATCTTGTCAAATGTATGTTTTTAACATATATAGATTTGTGTGCAAGAAAACCTAGTCTTTCTTCCCAGACATCTTTTCTAAGGAGGGTGACTGGTGACTGTTCCTGCATAAGGTGATATCACATTAAGGAAGAAAACCTTGCTCTTCAATGATCATCACTGCAGCACATTGTCCCTTGTGCAAAATGTGGGGATGAGTCTTCCAGGGGACCCGTTAGCAGGAGAAAAAGTGAGGTCACTGAGGTTGGAATAGGGACGTGCGTATCGAGGAGGAGGTATTGTTGGTGAAAGCGCAGCCTGGCCCAGGTGTGAACCCTGGAAAATGCTGTGAAAGATGGGGTGGGGAGTGGGGGATGACAGGGGACAGAGGAGGGATGGAGGAGGGTGAAAAACAAAAGCGAGGCAGGCTGGAAGTGAGGAGGGGAAAGGGAGAAAGAAAGGGAAAGAGAGAGCCCGAAATGATCAAAATATTAAATCAAAATCAAATCAGAAAACCAAAGTCAGGCAAATGGTTACATACGTAATCTGATTTCGCCAGCATACTTACGAAGAATGACGTGGGTGATAACGAATGCAAATATAAAGACTGTCAGAAAAGACAGAGATAAAATAAACATATAAAAAAATCTGTAGTTTCTTTTCCCCACACAGTTGCCTACCCAGGGACAGTGGTGATCAAACCGTTCTGAAATGAGAGGCAGAAAAAAAAAAAGTGGAAATCAATTAATAAAATGTCTTTTTACTTGCAGGAGCCCCGCCCCTCCCACCCAATATTCTGATAATATAAGACAATGATATTATTCTGCATGTTTCCAAATTAACTACTCAGAGAAATGTTTCACATCAAGACAGTTCAAGGACATCGTCATTCTTTCAACAGAACGCAGCTGTTCTGAAAAAACAAAACGTATGCATTCTTCTTAAATGGCAACTTAAAGAAATAGGAGGGCAAATCTCATTTCTTTTGGAAAGTAAAGATTTCTCTCTTCGGTAAAAGAAACCTCTTTGATTCACTAAACAACAGTCCCTTAAGAGGGAACCAACATCGCCTGATGATAAGTTCTGGGCTGGGGTTGGATGTCAATCAAGTGACCTTCTTTGCATAGTAAATGGCCATAGAGAGAGGCCACAAGGGGCCTGTGACAGGACAGAGGGACAATCCTTTGTCCTCAGTTACAACCGTTCAGCAGATATCAATCACATTTATTAATACATTTAGCCTCAAAACATTCCTATGAAGAAAACGATGGTGTTACCCTATTTTACAGATGGGCAAACTGAGGCTTAGAGAGATGGGAGACTGCCTGCACCGGGTCATTCAGCTCAGAAGCAGAGGAACTAGAACTTGAGGTCAGGCCTTTGAGAGCTGCTCCCATTTTCTTACCGTACAGGCTGCCTCTGGCATTTTGTAAATGAGAGAGGGTCTGATATGGACATCATTACATGATTACCCATGGTACCCTAAGTGCAGACGCAAGGCCTCTCACCTGGACATCTGCACACAAAGTCTGTAATGCATTTAAGATTTGTTCTTCCTCTTGCAAGTAATGGCAAAGGGCTTCTCTTGACTACTCAGCTGATCTATTGAGAACACCATCCTAACGCACCTGCTCATACAAGACTGCCTGTGGCGGCTGGGGAGGACACCGCTGGATATGACTTAGCTTTCTCCTTCGGCTCTTTTCTTATTTATTTATTTATTTTTTTTGAGATGGAGTCTCGCTCTGTCGCCCAGGCTGGAGTGCAGTGGCCGGATCTCGGCTCACTGCAAGCTCCGCCTCCTGGGTTCATGCCATTCTCCTGCCTCAGCCTCCCAAGTAGCTGGGACTACAGGCGCCCGTCACCTCGCCCGGCTAGTTTTTTTTTGTGTTTTTTTTTTTTAGTAGAGAGGGGGTTTCACTGTGTTATCCAGGATGATCTCGATCTCCTGATCTCGTGATCCGCCCGTCTCGGCCTCCCAAAGTGCTGGGATTACAGGCTTCAGCCACCACGTCCAGCTCCTCTGGCTCTTTTCTAAGCTGAACTTGTATCCAGTTTTTATATTTCATCTATCTCTATGTGTTTGAAAACATACCGGGAGTGCTATATGAGGTGTGACCATATAACTAAAACATTATAAAGTTAGGCAAGGCAGTTAGTTTCATGACTTTCCGGTCATGTATCATAAATCGGTCATCTTGTGTTTTTGGTCAAATGCAAACTTGTTTCTTGAAAAGGGCATGAGGTCACCTGAATGACAGTGGTGGCAGAGGAACTGCAAGAGAATCATTGCTGTCTGCAAGTGGCAGTAACAAGAAACAGCCAATCTGAGCAGAGGACTTGAGGAGAGATTTCAGAGCTCCCTGACCTGGTGATAAGCTGATGGCCTATCAGATGCTGACACTCAGTGAAAACAATTTGTATGAGCCTACCCACGTGAGCTACATGTTAACATGTGTTGCTGGCCCCCCATGGCTGGGAGAGCAAACCCTGCACAAAAACCACCTTCCTGGGGCTGGGGAGGGCTGTGCAGGTATATCAGTGTATCACAGAGAATACCCGGGGCCGGGGAAATACTCTGTGTGATACTGGAATGACAGAAACATACAATCATACGTTTGCCCAAAGCCACAGAATGGACCACACCTAGAGCGAACCCTAAACTGTGGATGTTGGATGATAATGATGTATCAATGCATGTTCATCAATCCTAACAAATTTATCCACTATGATGGGAGATGTTGATAATGGGGGAGGCTGTGCATGTGGAGGGGAGGGGTGGATGGGAACTCTCTGGACCTGCCTCTCCATTTTGCTGTGAACCTAAAACAGCTCTAAAAAAAAAAAAATTAAGTGTTTAAATATTAATGACAAACAAACCTCGTTTCCCCAAGTTACTGATCTACACAGTCTGTATAATGAGAGGTCTATCTATGTGACGACGTGCACACAGAGAAAAGAATCTGAATCAGCCAGAATTTCTTAAGACCTGGAGGATGTCATTTTGAGAAACCACTTTTCTTCTCCATGTATGACTAAAGAAAATGGGCATGAGAGTGAAAGCTGGGGGCATAAAAGCACATGCTGGATTGGAATCTCCTACTCACTCCAGGAAGGCTGATCTCTCAATCCCGCATGCGGTGGGTTTGAGCCTCTTAACTGAAGTGAAAATTGCCTACCAGCAAAGAAGGACATAGGGCCTGGGAGGCATCGTTAACACCAGGAACCAGCATGAAGGTCTTGCAGCACACTACAGACCATTTCTACCATAGGAATCAGTCGTATTTTTAGCTTAGAAAGTTTAATAACAGCTAAGCTGTGACACTGTGCTTTCCCGACGGAGGCAGAGTAACTACCGAAGTGAAAGCGACAGATGACGCCGCCGAGACAGTTGCTCGTGGAGTCTGGGAGCTTCTTGGGAAACCAGTGCCGTCTTAGAGATGAGTGTGAACTCCTGGCTCTCCAGTAGCCCTGAGCTAAAAGCAGTTCCTGTCTAGAAACTTGTATTGAAAACTTTTTCTGGCAAACTTTTTCTGGGATTTTAGTGGCAGGAATCCCACTAAAAATCTAGGCTCACTGAAAAATTACCCTACTGAATATTTTTCATGTCCTCTGTTGTGTTTGTTGAGTTTATGGTGGTAATGAGTCTGAGAGGCTCAGTGGGTGCCTCCAGGGAGTCAGGAAGCATCAGAGTCCTCGGGCCGGTGGTCTCACCTGCCTAACCCCCACCCCACACTCTTGCACCTCAAGCCTGCGTGCTCTCCCCACCTCCCTGTCTGTGCTTTCCTCTCTGCCCAACATCTGATGATCAGTTGCACCCAGGGCCTCTTTTCCATGGACTGTCTTTTTCTCTCACTGGCAATCCCTTTTCATCCCAAGGTCCACATGCCACTCCACACTGATGACTCCAGAATGGCGGCCTCTCACCTTCAGCAACAGACTCCTGCTGAACGGCCTGACTGGCCCTCAAACTTGACTTGTCCCAGAGAGGACATCCTGTCCTCCCTCCCCAAACACGTGCCTCTTCAGACTCTCTATCTGACCAGTTGCTCAACTCAGAACCCCAGGCATCGTTCCTGACCCTGCTCTTTCTCTCACCCCGACATCCAACCCATGGGCAAGTCCAATCAGCTGGATCCTGGCTGCATCTGAAAGACTCTGCTATGGTCTAAATGTGTCCCCCGAAGTTCATGTGTTGGAAACGTAGTCCCCAGTGCAACAGTGTTGAGAGGTGGGGCATTGAAGAGGGGATGAGGTCATGGGGGCTCTGCTCTTATGAATGGTTTAGGATTAATGCTGTTACTGTGGGAGCAGGTTCCTGATAAAGGAATGATCCCCCTCTGCCTCTCACACTCACTTGCCCTCCTGCCTTCTGCCATGGGAGGACATAGCAAGAAGACCCTTCCCAGATGTAGGCCCCATGGCTGTGGACTTCCCAGCCTCCAGACCTGTAAGAGACTAAATCTCTGTTCTTTATAAATTACCCAGTCTGTAGTACTCTGTTATAGCAGCACAAAATGGACTAAGACATCCCCACATTTGTTTTACACTTGTGCTTGTCTGCCAACCCTACTCTAAGCCTAACACATATTTGTCAAGTAACTGAATACACTCTCATCCTATCAAAAGGAAATCTGCAGGAGTAAGTGCATTGCCCAAGGTCACACAATTAATGTATCGCAAAGCTGGGATGGGGGCCCAGCTCTGTCTGTCTCCCAACCTGAGCTCCTGTCCATTAAATGCTACACTGCCTTTACTGAGTATTTTCCATGTACCCAGTACTGTATCAGGTGCTTGGAATACTAAGAAGAAACAGCCACAACATAGGACACCATGACTTCAAAGAGTTCCTTGTGTTATTTGGTGAGGACACAATTTTCAGATGCAAAAATACTCCTCAGATCCAAGGAATGAACTCCTAATTTAGCTTCCATGTCAGTCAGCTGGATTGCCATTGTTGGCAGCAGACAGCATTCTTCCTTTTCGGGTCAAGGATGAGAACAGGCCACGGAAAAGCAGTGGCCCTGTCCTGGTGGGAGAGCCACCCTCCTGCCTCCAGCTCTGAATGCGCTCAGAGGAGCGGAAGCTAAAGAGCTGTCAGAGTTATAACTTCCAGTGGGGAGGCTAGTGTCATTCAGTATCCAGGATAGAAAGTTGTCAAGAATTAGGCACAAGCTGAGCTGGGGAGAGAGCAAGGGACTGCAACCAACACATGACATAGCTCCCCGGAGCCCAAGTGAGCACATCTGAGAAGCTCCACACAGCCAAACTGAGAGTATTATTTCTATACCTTCTGTGTGGAAAAACTGAATGGCTGTCCTGTGTGCCAGGGGTGGCAGGGTTAGGGGCGCATGTGATGGGAAGTTCTTTAACAAACACTTTGAAGTTGCTGCCACATTCCTTGATTCTAAAGTTTGGGTCCTGCCAGAAGGTAGTGGTCTCTACACCACAGTATCTCTGGAGAACTCATTTTAAAAGATGTATTAGGTCTGGGCACAATGGCTCATGCCTGCAATCCCAGCACTTTGGGAGGCTGAGGCAGGCAGATCACAAGGTCAGCAGATCAAGACTATCCTGGCCAACATGGTGAAACCCCGTCTCTACTAAAAATACAAAAATTAGTTGGGTGTGGTGGTGTGTGCATATAGTCCCAGCTACTCAGGAAGCTGAGGCAGGAGAATTACTTGAACCTGGGAGGTGGAGGCT